CGTCATTGCTATAAACGTAATGGGCTACGGCATTGCTATAAACGTAATAATGGGCTACGGCATCGCCATAAATGCAATGGGCTAACGCGTTGTAAACTTGAATGACTACTTCATTGATATAAACATAATAGATATTGCGTTACTATATATACGAATTGCTACAATCATATTGTTATTTTTATTAATATTTATTTTTTTTGCATAGTATCAGCCAGTATCGATCCTAGGAAAACTCTCTCGTTAGCCTCTGAGTGCCCTGCAAGTAGAGGATTGTTTCTCTGCTTGTACATAGGGTAGATAAAAATAAAAACACTACATTACGTCTAGACTTGTTACAAGTCATTTGTTCTGCTATAGTCAAAAATAATAAAGCATGGCTAATGATTTTGAGAAAGTCTATGTAACCTCAAACAATGGCAAAAATAAGCTGCAAATGACTCAATGCCTTTGTTTTTGGTTGTCATGTTTATAATGATGACTATATTCTATGACTACTTTTAGGTCCTTTTACTCCCAACTCGATATTGTTCATACAATAATATGTATAATGTATAACACTTTATCATATAATTATCTATGAARTACCTATATTTCTCCATTATGTAAAATTGAACAGAATATTACATGGTCGCTTGGAGATACGAATTTTATCTTCTCGTGTTGAAAATCTCTCACGAGTGAGCGTAGCGAATCTTTTSAACACTCGAAGATAAAATCYGTATCCCCGCGCGCCCATGTAATATCCTCTATATACGTCAGAAAATTTGAACAGAGTATCTGGCATGGTGATATGTTATTTTCACCACTCATTCAACTTTATATGATGAAATTACATCTCTATCAACCTTTTATTCATCATTTGCAGTCTTACATTCTATGAAATAAAATTATTTACATGTTAAAAACAATTTTGAAAAGGCACCTATTCATAGGTATTTCCCCTTTTGTCGATTTTGGTTGCATATCCTAGCACAATATCCCTATTTTAAGATTTCATCTTCAAACTAGGATTTCATAAACTCTATGACTGGAAATGGAAGAGGAAGCTTGTCAATATCTTCGTGACTTGAAACATTAGCCAATATTACCATCTTACACAACATTTCTAAAGGATCAACTGAAAGAGAAAAAGGATATGTTGTTAATGTTTGTTTTTATGTCTGGTGTGCAATCTCAGTGGTTGTGGTAAAATCAACCAGATTMTAAGAGCCTGAGCTASAAATTGGGTCATATGATAAACATAAACAAGTAGTACAAATGAAATGCCCTTRACTGTCCTAGATAATCTTAAGAAAATGGAAAAACTCTCAGGTTTCTTTAGTATATCACAAAAATGTGACCTCATTTGTGAATGAATTACCATTATGTAAGGAAAATTCTGAAAAAGTRGAATGATGATGAAGTAAAAGAAAAGAAAATTTTGATATTTAAACAGAATTAGCATGAAAATGAGATGAACAAAAAAAATGAAAAAATGGTATGAATCTATTATAAAAGGTGCAAAAAGAGCTAAAACAATATAACACACCTCCATGATATTTCCACGCCACCTCCTTTGTTCTTCCATAAACATCAAAAATAGCAAAGATTTSTTTATCAGTAGGGATTCCAGTTATTGCTACACCTTTACTAACACCATTGCAGAAATATATTAACTCCCCCTTACGATTTACTTGCACACCTATACAGTCATTGACTTTCAAAGAATGTATATTAAAACTGTATTCCTTTTCAAGTGTGCCATTATGCAGACGTGAACCAGACAATATCCAAAAGTCTTTACAATCATCTATAAAAAGGTCCGTTACAGCTCGCACAACACTAGTCTGTGGACAATTGGGATTTTTTAAAGTTACTCCAATTCTCTGCAAAAGATGATGATACAGTGCATTGGTGAAGGATGTTACTGAGAACTTCAAATTATGGTTTGGTCAAGAAACAACTTAGCTTTTTCAATATGCTAACTATTCAGAGACTTTGCACAAGAATGCATGCAGTCTGATGACAGAAAATACACTTTCTTCTACAAGACTTCCAAGTTGCTTGGGGCTTTCAAAAGTATCACAGGCATTGAAGCAGGCATTAATGTTTCGGGCAAAAATATATAGTTCCAAATTTTGGAACACGGCCCCTGTGGTATTTTTGAAAGTGCCAAATCATTCCTGAAATGGATTATTTTGAATGCCTTTCTTTAGTTGAAGGAGAAAGAAGCAAATAGAGGGAAAGAATGTAATCCAGCTATCTGCAGCATTGTAGCTTATTTCCTCATCCAAAGACAAAATAATGGAACTACAAATCAGATAGATGATTGTGGCAAGAACAAGGTGGCATCATCCTGGCTCATGACCTTTTTTACTTCACACTTGAAATTTAACAAAATATTGTAACTAACAAGGCCTATATCAAACATTCATGCGTGCGCTAAAATAATTTTAGTTAGTAAATAGATGTCTTCAACTTTTGAAGAATTTTTTTTAGACTTTTGAAGTGTTTCTAACTATTATAGTTTACATGTAAGTCCTCCAATGTCCAGGTATTGAACATTCGAAATGCTATTCGTTAACGTAGGAATGCGTTTTGATGAGACCGACACAAAGACAATAATTGCTATGTCATCACTTTTGTGGCATGTGCTGCATCTTTCACTTGAAATCAGTTACAACGCTTAGTGACTTACCAAAGAACCAGCCCATTTTGGCTCCATCTGTTCAATACTGAGTTGAAAGATCTCTCCAATTCTGATGGGCCTACAAGAAAACACGACTCCATGGTCATAAGTATCGCCTTCTCGGATTGCTCTAGAGTTTACTTTCGACAATTTTATGAATCGCCCATGTTTGTGATGAAAAGACATTGTCCAAGGTTCTTGTAAAATGGGCATAACGTGATAAATCAGACAAATTGATGGGTTACAACACGAAGTATCAGGGCAGCCATATTTTAGATTGTTTATAGACGCTGTTGTTCCATACCTATATGGCCGAGGAAGACTGGGCAGTGAACATTGTGACGTACAAGAATTTCCATCAGATTATCACCAGTAAATTATAAAAAATATAAGTATATGTCGAAAAAATCCRCTGAAACATTTTTAAAAAATATCAGAGAGTAGAGAATCCCGAATGGCCAAGATTTCACTTCCTTTCGTCATTTTTGCTAGGTTTACACTTATGTATAGGAATCGAAAAAAGGATTTACTCTAGAGTTTCCTGCAGAATTTCCCATGTTTGTGATGAAAAACATCTCTGGCATAGGCACAATGTAAATAWTAGACAAATTGATAAATGACTGAAAGTTATTCACGTCCCGTGGCCGAGGAAGACTGGAAAGTATGGGTACCAGATTGTGACGTAACAGAGAAAAGTTGCAAAAAGTTTCATTACAAATATTCTTTTATTAATATCATCAATCAAAAATTACCGCAAACATCGAAGATGCCGTTAAACGCATTGAAAGATTATCAAAAGAGAGAATCTCGAATGGCTCGAAGATTTGCAGTCATCACTGCTATGATGTCATTGGCTCGCCGCACAAGAAATCACGGCGCATGTCCAGTGTGCTCATCCAAAATGGCGGACGTAGAAGATGAGGTATTTTACAATCTTTTTGTTTTGATTATTTACTATGCCTCTACCTTAACTCTATTTTGCTTATTAAAGCACAATATCAAAGGCTTCATTATCAGAGAATATTTTGGATTTGTTTAGGAGTCAGAAGTTTTCGAAATAACAGACTTTACAACTTCATCAGAGTGGGAAAGGTAAGTGTTATTATTCCTGTGGTCTGTAAGTAACTTGATTAGCTTACATTATATTTCAATCTAAAAACATTTTGTCCTTTAAAATAAATTATGAGACAAGTCTATAAGTTATGGCTGCTTTTTAGATTCATTGCAAGGTTAGAAGAGGTCATTCATGAATGGAAGCTAGATGATGGCGCTTCAAGACATCAGTACAAAGTAAGCTTATACTATACGTAACTTAATTTTTACTTATAAAAACAGAATGCTCAATGCAGTGAATGGTAAGATGCAGATAGTATTGTTTGCAGACATCTAATAATGACTTAATTATTTGTGTTATATTATAACCGATACATCATGTTCAACTATTTTTTTCCAACAATGTTAGTTAATATGCGATMAAAAAAGAATTAATCCATCTGATGAAAATTCATGGTAATCAATTGATCATTATCAGAAATCAATAATCAGTYAATAATATGAAAATCTACAAAACTCTATCATACAATAGTGTTATATGGAGCCAAAGGCCAAAAACAACTACCTTATGAAGTCTAGTAATATAATGATGATGATTATCACTAATATAATTATTATGATAACCAACGATACATATTCATCACTTAGCAGATTATGAACTTTGTTATTTATCATTGATTCAGGGTTTTCAGGTATCTTCAAGTAAAGACTCCCAAAAAACAAAATTAAACCCTTTACCTGTGAAGAAGGCTGATAATGTAAGTCCTTTTTTATTGGTATTTTTAAAAGTTATCCATTATTATAAATGATTTGACAATTTAGAAACGTAAAAATACAAAATACATTGATCGTTTTGACTGGACATCTTTTTATGTATTATTGTATGTTTTCTAAATCTCAAGACAATGTTTACATTTCTAAATTGATATCTTTCTTTTTCTTTTCTTTGTTTTTTGCTTTCAGGAAAGAGAAGGAATATGGGCATTTATTCAAGAACAAGTCTGCTTTGCAAATTTTACTTTTAACATATCATATCATTACTTAAAACGAAAGAGAAAAGAAAATCTTCCATCCAAAAATATAACACAAGGTATATATGTTTAATCTGTGTTAATTTATTTATTCATTTACATCTGTTAATTTATGAATTCAAAGAATTATTCATTCCTTCTTTGATTTACCTATTTTTTATTGAGCAAATTAATTATTACAATTGTTTTTTGATATTATTTTGTGTTTATACTTTCTTTTCAATCAGTGCAAGAAGGAATTCCGTCTGCTGTGATGGATATGTTTGACATGGACTTTGACTTCCCCCCAAGAGTACATTGTCTCAGCAGATGGTAATAATAATGTCTTTTTCCAGTCATCCGTTATGATTGATAAGGAGAAAGATGACTACATAGTAAGTTATAAGGAACTGTTTCACACTGATATTTCCTGTTCGCCAGGTATGGGCTAAAGGAGTTTATAGTTCTGTCACCCGCTCAAAACATAGAATCTATTGACAGTGAATCAAGATGTCATCTGTTGTTGAGCTCTATAGCAATTGCATTTACCAATGCAAAATGGTAAGTTCAAAATAACTTTGTAAAATTAGTTGAAAGGTGATTTTTACAGATTTCAAATGAATTCCAAATTCCCTTTCATGACGTGGCTGTACTTTAGTTGTTGATCTTTTGTCAATTCAAAGTTTTCTATGGCATTAATACCAGGTATGGTTCCCTGACCATGCTGACATACATGTTGTTTATGATATGACCTGTTGCACAGTCATGTAACCTTTTATCTTATACTATAAAGAATATATTTACAAGTTACTACAGAGATGAACTTTTTTCATTGTCTAACTTCACAGCACAATACCAATGTTTATTCAAGCTCATCAGAGATGGAGGCGACTTTATTATGGTGTTTGYCTTGGTGGAGAGTTTCGCACCTTGTTTGAAATGTGCCATCTTAAGAATACCCCACCACAGTATAATCATTTATCTGGTCTTCTTGAGGTCTTTAAGGATAAATTAGTGAGTAACACTTATTATGGAAATTTTAGTTGAAGGACTGTTACTGAAAAACCTGGTTCTTTACTGAATTTTAAGTATTTGAAAGACAATATTTTTCTTTGATAAAAGAATAACATCAAGTTAATAGCTATATTAATACATTATTGACTATTATAGACTGTTTATTGCTATTCTTAATGTTATGAGCAATAGTTATTTTTGAATTATTCTAACTATATTCATTTCCCAATGTGTAGGCATGTCCAGTATCTCCCTGTCCACCAGTTACAGTATCAATACGCTTTACTTAYATCTTGAATGAATGGACTGATTACGCTTGGCCTCAAGAGCCCCCAGACATTGATGCATTATTAAATGTTAACAAGTTTGAAGGTGAAGATATAGTACAATTAGGAAGTTTACCTTTTGGAGCTAGTCAGGATCCTATCAGGTAATATYAATTATATTCTAATKCGCTCCCCCACTCAAACGAATATAAATCATTTACCATTTAATACTAAACAGACTTTAGGGAAGTGTCCACACRGCAGCGCATGCGTGCTTTATTGAAATGTCAGTATATAATGAGTACAATGAATGATAAATGCAGCGATTGGATCGCCATGAAACAGGCACGTGAGAAAGAACCATACTGCTTACGAAAGACTATTGACTATACGCAAGTTTTACACATGCCAGACTGCATAATATGTATAATATATATATTAGAATAAGTAAAAGGAAAAAAACTCGCATTTTTTTTTTTTTTTTGCACGACACTAGAGAACGTTGGACACGAATGGAAAATTGTGCAATCCTATTGCCTATTTATATTAGAGTCTAACCACTGATCCATAAATCCCCTTGGGCATTTACTCCCCTTAACTATGCACTAGTTAAGTAAACAATGTTAAATACATTTGTAATGATGATGATGATGACTGTCAGTGATAGAGCATATTACATTTACAGACACTATAAAATTATAAAAATTTTTATCAGTTAATGTATTAAAATAGCATTAATTTGATTTCTTTGCTTAGTGAGCTCCACCTATCAACAACATGGCCATGTCTTTCAGAAGAAGTAGTTGTCGATAATGCAGTTTATTCGTAAGTAAATTGCTTCAGTCTCATTCAAGTTCTCCAAGCCATTTTTAAATGTAAAGGAAGTATCGTCATCTTGATATAAACATCTTTTCTAAACTAACTAAAAAGCAATAGAGACTGAGAATAAAGTGTATGTTTTTAATAAATTAAACTATTTACCTGCTCTGAAAATTGTTATTGTGTTTGCATGAACTCATTCTTTTAGTGAATACATTTCCATGATTTCAAATTCTGTTTATTACTTTTGAAGAGATCTAGACCCATTACAGGCTCCTGAATGGTGTGTCAGGGTTAGAATGTGTGAAAACCCTAACTGTTTATTAGGTGAGTGATATTGGAAGCTTGTGGTCAGTACTAGTAATGAAGATGCAGTAGATAAAAGCAAACGAGAAATCATGTCAGTTTTCTATGATTTTTAAGGTGAATATTTTGGTGGTTTTATGGAATTATGCTACAGAGAAGAATCAACAATGCAGTTATTAAGGAATAATTTAGATGAAGATGAAGGTAAGCTATGTATGTTGTTGTTTGAATGAAGTATTTCCCTATTTAACCCTCACTATGAATATTTCCACCTATTTCAGATAATGCTGATATTACACAAGCTTTACAAAGACTAACAGATCCTGGTCATAGGAGCCCTGTGTCATCCTTGTCTTCAGCAGTTTCCAAAGCAACTAAAATCTCAATTCTTGGTGAAGGTTCTTCACAAGAGTTCCCAATAGAGCAGGAGCTTTTAACATGTGTCTTAAGAGTATGTTGTTGTATTATGTCATGGTCTATTGTATTGTATTTTATAGCTAGTGTTTTTTTTTTGTTCTTTGAACAGTATCTTTTCCCTGATGCTGAGGAAGATGCTGAATCAATTGAAGCAAAGCAACAAGAAGTCCATGAATCAAGACAGACTGATTATGACAGCTTTAAGGAACTGCAGGTCTGTTGGCAATAATAAAATCAGCTAAGTTATCCTCTGATTTTCATCTATATGCCCATCATCTCTTTGCAGATGTTCCCTCACCATTGATTCATGAATGAAATCCTTTCATTTATTTTCCCACAGATACATTCACTCATTCATTTGTTTGTTCATTCAATCCAAATCATTTTTTATATGTGATTCTTATTTCAGGACAAACTAAGAGGGTTAAAATCTTCAYCTGAAGATAGTCTTACTTTTGTCTTAGCAATATGTACTTGCATTGTATATAATAATCATGGAGGTATGAAAATTGCTTTGTAAGCCTGTAACTATTAAACTTTAACCTGTAATATCTAATAATTATTTCTTTTGTTAATAGGACTTAGAGCTGTTGCACATCTATGGCATGAGTTTGTTCTTGAAATGAGATATCGATGGGAAAATGATATATTTATACCTAGGTACCAAATCTCCACCATAACTTGCAGTCTAAATATTCATTCCTTTAAATACTTTTTTGTTTTGAAGTGGAAATTTAATAAACTTCATGAATGTTTATCTAGGTTAAAATTAGAGTCTCCAAATCATGGATGTTGCTTAATTCATCAAAAGCTACAGGTATTGTTTTTTCATAAATGTAACCTTATCTCATATAGAACTGTATGGAAAATGTTATGTTTTGATTTYCAGATGCTTAATTGTTGCATAGAAAGACGGCGTATATCCAAACTAAGGGCATCAAAACTTGAYATTAATGAAAAAAGGACTGAAAGTAGTAGCTCTGAAGARGAGTTCTTTGAAGCATTAGAAGACCTGGAGTCATCTAGTAGATCAAGTCATAGTCCTTCTAAAGAGTCTGTGAAAGAAAGTCAGTCAATTGATGGTAGACTCAATCAGTTTGGTGATCTGTTATTACTAGCTACTGGTGAACCATTATATATCCCTATTACACAGGTATTTCTCCTTCTTTACTTATCAATCCCTTAATCCATTGCACCACAAAGGTAATATAGAGTATACTGAATATGCCAAAAACATTCTCTAATATGTAATCTACAGTCATTTCAAAGTCATTCCTTTTTCTGTAACTGTAACTGTAATCTGGTGATTTTTCACTGATTTGATGTGATTCCATGTTCAAGGAACCAGCACCCATGACAGAAGACATGCTTCAGGAACATGCAGAGGTTCTCACTCAGCTGGGTACAACACAAGAAGGTGCCCGTGTTAGGGCACAGATGCAAAGTGCATCATTACTATCAGACATGGAAGCGTTTAAAGTAAATAATGACTGTTGTTAAATGATGCTATCCATTAGATCATGCCTGTTCCACATGTCATCATTTCTGTCAAACATCCAGTCAAAAACTAATGTACTTTGTCCACAATCCAAGTTAAAGATTAACGTTTTGTTGGCTGCAGGCTGCAAAYCCTGGTTGTTTACTGGAAGATTTTGTCCGCTGGTATTCACCCAATGACTGGATTCCAGGAAAAGAAACTCATGAAGAAGCGGAAGAACTGGAAAGTATAAAGCAACGTAGAAACCAAGAAGTTACTGACAAAGTTTGCATTGGTGAGACTAAAGAGTTGCTTGGTTGATTTTCCTGATGGACATCAGTATGAATATTAAATATTTTTTCACAGAAGATGAAGACGRTACCAGTYTTGGCTGGGATGACGAAGATGAAGTAACTGAAGAAGAAATTACAGAGGTGGAGAAGTCTGCTGCAGTTGRACTGATGCATGAAGCTAAAGCTGGTCACGTACCAGAACTTGCTACAAAGAAAGTATGTCCCTTCAACGCATTTCGTCTGGGGGGAGGGCTATTTCTTTTTGAATAAAATACCTTGGTTGATGGACTAACTACTAATTTTTGTATTTAATGTAYAGTGGACTGAAGAAGGTCATTTGAGTCTKAGAATGCGTATCCCTGGTAACATATGGGCTGAGGTTTGGCACAGTGCAAAAGCTGTACCAATACGGCGACAAAAACGACTCTTTGATGAAACTAAAGAAGCTGAAAAGGCACGTAATGATCCTGTAGCTTCTGTGTGTTTATTGACCTTGTTGAAGGAGTTTACACAATAAGTTGGTAAACTTCGATGGTTGTGGTTGTAACGATCCTGTAATATGATGTAACGATTCATCTAGTAATGGAAGTGACAAATACAATGTCATGCACGGAGTTTTAAAAGTTTTTTTTGTGTTTTAGGTTCTTCATTTCCTGGCATCTCTGAAACCAGCTCAAGTAGCTTTCTATCTCTTTCCTGTTTTATTTCACGCTGCTTTACTGAAAATAGAGGAAGCTGGTGGTAAAGATATTCCAGCTGTTGCATCGTTACTGGAACAGGTGACCAGGAAGGCCAGGCAGCTACATTGGAATATGCCTGACGATCTTCCACAGTGTGAGGTATGGAATATTACGACGAGTAATTTTATTTATTTATTTATTTATTTATTTATTTATTTTTTTTTACATTTAAAAGTGTAGTCTTGGTCTTGCTTCTGCATTATGAGAAAGAAACAAAACTTTGAGACCAAGTCCAGAAACATTGAACAAATTTCTTTTATTCTCGTTCAAGGAACTCGTGAAACAAGTGAAACTTGCAGAACTTGCTATCGCTCGAGCGGATTCTCTTCGTTTCAAATTCCAAGAAGCCATYCAGTCCCAGAAGCACTCTGTACAAAAGGTCGGCGGAGAGAAAAATCTTGATGAGTTTTTAGAATCTTTGATGGAAAAACCTGAGGTGAATGTCATTGGTGCAGGACGAGGACCGGCTGGGAGAGTAATTCATAAATTATTTGCTAAGCAAGAGGTAAGTKTACAGAGTCATGAACAGCAAAGAAAATGAATTCTTGTCGTCCCTGGAAAATAATCAGAACGATTGCAGCTAAAGCAAGCAATAAATGGTTCAAAATATTTTAACTATAGCATTTTTTACAATAAAAGTATTTCTTTTTCCCTTTAATCTTAGAGTGCAAGAATGGAGCAGCCTATTCTAGAGAGAGATGTCAACAAACAACAAGTAATGAATTATTTTACTAATTATATTATGTATTTTATCTCTTTATACAAATAATATTGAAAGGGCTTGATCCTTCCTATGTCTGGACCTGGTGAGTTTCCGCGTGTTGAGTCAAATTCAGCCGCAGGCTCCACTCCTGGTGGTGCCCTTCCGTCTTTAACTAATTTGCCCTAAAAAGATGATTGTATATGAAACGTTTTCTATGCATTTCGCAGCTAAATATAACTACAATTTACACATACGGTAGTTGACATTCATCCTAATATGATACAATGTTTTAAGCGACCACTGCTATGTTATGCCGAGTGTTATCAAATCCARTGATTGCTGGCAGTCCCCATTTAATAACCTTTTCTGGTTCTGTTGTATGTACTTGTCATTTCCGTGCTTTGAGGATATTTTTTTCCTTATTCGTTGTTGATTTTATCTTTTTCAGGTTTCCCCCGGAACAACTCCAGTGCAGCAGGACTTTCCTATCCCAGCTGGACGTGAATACATTCTACGRACCACTCTACCTCGTCCCGCGCGGTCATCACGGGCGTGTCCGCAGCGAATGTAYTGCGTATTGGCCGGGGATGAGTTTCGACTTGCTGGTGCATTTACAGATGACGTAACGTTCCAATAACAGTATTATTGTCGTCGTAAATACACAAATAAGACTTCGCTCACAGGCCAGATAGCAGTATGCACATTGTCAACAGAATCAGACAATTCTATTCATAACCTRGAAATACCATGCACATGGACTTAAACAGTTGAATTTTAATTTATTCCATGATCAGAGAGAAATTTTATGCTGAGGCTTTGTCATATTCTCCACTGAGAAATTAATCGTCAAATTTACAGGATAAATTGACAAATGGAAGAGTTTATAGTATGCATTGAATGATAGAAAGTTAAATTATATTTTAAGTACAAAGTATTTATGAAGATATTTTAAATAAATGTCTTATAGAGTTGATGAAGTGAGTTTTCTTTGAGCTGACTGAAATCGGCATATCAGAACATGTTTTGTATCGTGTTTGCGTGCAACCAGTGTTCATTTATTGAACTACTGTGTACTACGGTTACATCGTTATCTAACTTGATCTATTGAGTGAATAMAAAAGGGGATCGCCACAAGCCCCTCATCACGCACACTCTCTGATGACTATTGTAAATCTGGTTAAACGTCTGTATGATTACAGAATACCGGACAGACTGAGGGTCATAAAGACTGTTTCGGCTTCTTAAAGTATATCAAGAGGGGTGAAACACCCTATTAAGTGCACTGTTCTGAAATGAACGTCTTCGCGGAACCACACATCATCAAACGTACTGCCAGATTGGGTGTGGGAGGGTCTTTTAAGACGTAAAAGTTTAAGGAGCGGGGTGAAATACGTGGATGAAGAAATGGTCTCAAAAGTTTCTCGGATGAAAATATTTCAATGTAAATTAGAGGAATTTGAAGGTCCAAAAAACAGGAAGGTAGAAGAAATACTGAAATTGCTGGGACAAAGTCGAATAACTTACACGTGTCAACATTACCCAGAATACAATAGTTTATAGTACCCAATCTCCCCGCCAAAATCGCTGCTTCGTGACAAGCCGGCAAATATGGCAGCAATACACGTGTACTTGTTAGGAACTTTAGTTTTAATTCTATCTTTACAGGTTTTAGCAGGGTAAGTATGATGCATTCTGTGAAAATGAATTCTGTTTCAACTATTTGTGTTGCAAAAAGACTGACTTAATTTCCTATAGGCGGGATTTTTATGCAATACTCGGCGTCCCTCGAGATGCAACAACTAACCAAATCAAGAAAGCGTACAGAAAACTTGCTATGAAATGGCATCCAGATAAAAATACAGAAGACCCAACGGCACAGGATAAGTTCCAGGATATAGGGGCAGCTTATGAGGTAAGCTAGAAATACAGCGTCTGTTTATTATTGCTTGTGGCCGAATAAAGTATTATGTAAATGAGAGTTTACTACCAACAATAATTCTTCTAGAATTTTTACTTACAAAATATCGAAAATATCATGTTTTACTTATTTATTCATGGCAATAGAAAGTACTAATTACATTTTATAGTGCACTTCAAATTCTTTCTTTTTAAAGTAATGTTTTCTCTTGTTGAAATAAAGTTTCGTCAAGCTGTTCGTCGTCTCATTCAGACGTGACACAAGTGTGCACATATGATTGGTTGATTTATGAATAAGTTATTATCACTTCGAATGATATTATTCTTTCCGGGTTTTTACTTCTTTTTTAAAGACTGCTTAAAAGAATATTATATAAGTTTAATAATTTCTGTCCAGTTCTTTTTGCCACAATAAAGARAACATAACGGTCTATATTAAATATGTTAATATTTGGCAAGAGCCAGAGAAAGTGTTTTAAAACATTAGTCCTTTTTGATGAAAATAGATTAATACTGTAATATTTATTCAGGTGAGCAGTGTGACCTGAAAAGTTTATATATCTTACCTTTTAATTGAATGAAAATTAAGTTTTAGAACTAATTATTTGAAGAATTGAAGTTTCATTATTGATGATTTTCAGTAGAGAAAATGCAGAATGGTAGAGTAAAGGTGTAGCCTAATTTTCAGACAGGCCTGAGTCTTGTAAACTGCTCTGAATAGAGTTTGAAGAACTATTAGCAGCGAACCCAGGCCGTCTGAAAATCTGGCTAGTAGTAGCTAAAACCATTTTTGTTTTTCATTAAATATTCCATAATTTTTGCTTTCTTTGCCTCATTTGTTTCTGCTGTCTTTGTGGGTTAAGTGGCTWTATGTTCTCTAGCTTTAAAATGTTGTTTRTTTTCTGTAGGTATTAAGTGACAAGGAAAAGAGAAGTATCTATGATAAGCATGGWGAGGAAGGTGTGTCCAAGTCTGGGATGGGACATGGTGAAGACCCTTTCTCTAGGTATATACACTGTTTCACAGCAAAATATACTGATCGTACTTGTCTATTTTAACATAGTATTAGGGGAATTCCTTTTGAGGTGAAATCATGAAATGCCATAAAAACACCAGTGAATTGCTGTTATATTTTCTTCTTTTGTTGCTTTTCAAGMATGAAACCTGACAATAAACTTGATCTTATTTTAAATTGTATTGCTTGAATTCTTTCCTCAGTAAGTCATATTTGTCTTTGATAATATTTTGTAGTTTTTTTGGTGGTTTTGGTTTTCACTTTGATGGWGCAGAACATTCACACAATAGAGAAACACCACATGGAGCCACTATTACTGTTGATCTAGAAGTTACTTTAGAGGAATTGTATAATGGAAACTTTGTAGAGGTATGTAAATACTGCATGTCTAAAAAACTACACAAGTATTCATATTACCTACATATTCAAGCACGGCTGGTTTATAATTCATCTTTTGTTTCTAAAAGGGTTATATCTCTGTTGTTTACAACTACATTGAAAAATCCAGTCATACAAGGAAATTTAAACATCAATTTAAAAAAATTAAATTATCAATAGGAAGAAGCTGAATTCATGTTTTGGCAATTGTCTGAAATGTTTATCTATTATATATTATGACGATATGTATTTATTCAGTTTACAGACTAATAATTATGATTAATATTCATCAGGTTCTTAGGTATAAACCAGTAACAAAGACRGTTCCAGGAACCAGGAAATGTAACTGTCGTCAWRAGATGCGTACCATGCAATTAGGACCTGGCCGTTTTCAAATGTCACAAGAAGAAGTTTGTGATGAATGCCCAGCTGTGACTTATGTGAATAAAGAAAAACTATTAGAAGTTGAGATAGAGGAGGGTATGAGACATGAACAAGAATACCCCTTTATTGCTGAAGGTAATGTAAACCAATCTACAGTCTGCTTATCCTGATAAAAAAACCCTGTACTGCACCCTGAAGTGCTCTTTAAGTATGATTCCAATGATGTTGTGATCCATCATTTTAGGTGAACCCCACATTGATGGTGAACCTGGTGATCTTAAGTTTAAAATAGTTGAATTAAGGTAAAATTTATTCCACATTTTATATTGTTTTGCATTGGTACACAGATTTGCATGTTATTGGCATAAKTGGACAAAGTTTTGAAGAGTTGAATTATATGTAATGTATATTTAAGGCTGTTGTGTAGATCTGTGATCAATATTCATTAGTGAGTGTTTTGCTTATTTTAGACACAAGAGATTTAAACGTAAAGGTGATGATTTATACACCAACATCACTATTACTCTAGAAGATGCTTTGGTGGGATTTGAAATGGACATACCACACCTTGACAAACACAAGGTAACAACAATGCTATTGATATATTAGAATATCATTAGAATATTACACAGTGACTTGTAAAGAGCTCCTCCTATGTTAGAGAGGTTTAGATATTGATGGGTGATAATCTTCACATAAAAGCATCCTGTTAGTTCAAATATTGTTAATCATTCCCTGACTTAATTTCATTTAATGGTTTACAGGTTCATATTGTACGAGAGAAGGTAACCTGGCCAGGAGCACGTATAAAAAAGAAAGGCGAAGGAATGCCTAATTATGAAAATAATAAAATGAAAGGGGACTTATACATAACTTTTGATGTYGAATTTCCCAGAGGAAACCTATCTGATTCAAGCAAAGAAGGTACAGTCTAGTAACGTAAAATATTATTGCTGGCATCTTTGTACAGCAAAGTAGTTGTACATGTACATGTCTACATCATATAAAATTTGATTGAATATGTTGTGTGTTTTTTTTCACAGATATAAGAAGAATTCTCGAACAGCAATCCAAACAAACTGTTTATAATGGTCTATGATAAAACTTTTTTAATGTAATTTATGCAATGAAAAAAGGATGTTATGGTTTGCAAGAATAACTACAGGGCCTTGCAATGTAAAGAGTACCAAGGATATAGCCTTCTACAAGTGTACTTCTACACTTTCCTTTTGTGTATGCAAAAACTGAAAACATTCCAATCTTTATTGTGATATATACTGAYAGTATGCTCAACTCCATTTTGTACAGACATCCATTGGTAGTTTTTTAGACAATTTATTTCCATTTCAATTTATTTTCCAAATCTTTCAGTAAATGAGTTTTATTTTAAGAGGCAATTTTGTATCTGTTTTAAAATCATGGAATGCAATGTAAGTCTTGCTTTGTAAGGAAGACAAATTACAATAATTTTTACTCTAGTAAAAGTAGTTTTCACAAACTGTAAAGCAAAATATATTATAGAGATCATTGATGTTTGTTTTTCTGTTCCCAAATCTCTTATAATAGGGTGAGAACTATTCCAATTAAAGGGACATGGTCCACCAGCATCCCTTTCGAGCTTTTTCTCATGTTTGAAAATAAAAAACATCATAATATAAGTAAAAATTCACTTATTATTATCCCTTTATATTATATGAAATGGAATTATTGTAAGATTTGACCTTTAACCGAAGGATGTAAACAGATTGTGAATTTTGTATGCACAAATCCATCATGAAAAATCACCTATACCTACCATTTACATTTATAAAATTATTTTACTGAAAATCTGCACTTTGATATCATTCGAGTTGGTATGTACAATCCTAGACCAGTAAATACCATACATTTCCGACCACTGGCATAGCAAGCAATATTAGTTCATACTAGTACTTGACCTTGTTTTTTTCATGGTGACTTTTGCATTGTAATATGAATTCTGCACAGACAAGTTTCACTACATGTAACATCTCCATACGCTATTGAATTGGCAACTTATTCAGTATACATGGTGGAAAAAAGGTGATTTTATTGATTAGAGTTGATTGTTGAATGTGCTTCATGAAATTTATTTTGATCTGCACACTTAGATTTATTTGTATACTGATTTGCACTGAAAAATCAGTTGCTCATATGACTACAAGGTCATCAATGTGGCAAAATCTAAATAATGCCCTACCTGCAATATWAAAGATTAATCGGGAATACTAGAGATTCCAAAAACTTCAAGAAAGACCCATACAATCTACTAATAAAAGTATTCTAATTTCTTTCTTTCAAATAATCATATTTTATGCTTGATGGAACACCTTTGCCAYGTTCACCAGGGGAAACATTACAACTGCACCTACAAATGAWCCAATCTGGGCTGTGATTCCACACCAAAATAAAGCTTTTGATCCAGATTTTCTTGAAATTACATATATGGCCAGTTTTGTATAAGTTGTCAAACAGCTGCTCAGAATATTGGCAACAACCTGAAACCAACATACAACAAAATAAACTGGAGCAGTATAATTGATAAAATTGCAGTAGATCAGGACCAGGAGTTTTAACCCTGGAATAAGAATATTCAGGATTTGACAGTAATGCAGTACCAATTGAAACCTGCTTTTTGATTGCTCCTTAAGTACAGCACCGCTATTGTTAGGTTAGGTTTTGTTAYATTGTTGGAAGACTTATCTATTGTTTGTCCATTGTTTTCTCAACCTATCATGAGACCCGTTTTGAGCGGTGCTACCTGGCTCGGATTTGAACAACCTGACCAAAAGTAGAATGGTCTGTTTTTGAAAGATTGGTCCTTTAATCCCGAAAATAGATCCCATTTTATAAAAGAAGTAGTCTAAATGATATTCATTGTTTTGAATATTGAGTGGAACTATARACATACCATGAGCACAGCACCAATGGTATCATGATGAAGAGGTGGATACGGACTCATGACAGCTAATGTTAAAATATAGCCACTAAATAATGTATAGACAAAAGCAAGACAGGCAACTTTAGTAGTAGAGCGACAAGGTAACCACATGGCTGTAATAGAAGTCACTGCACTTGAAATTGATGATATAGTAACAGCTGAAAAACAACAATTCACAAATTAAATTGGGATTTTTAATTATACCAACTCTTGCCTCTAAGTTGACCATACTTTTATATGAGTCATAACTTTTTTTCAATGTTTTCTTTTTCAAAGTAAAGTGGTATACTCAGGAAAACAGATTTTGATTCACCCTTTGTGAAAAGGTAAATCAGAGAGACRGCTATAAGTCTTACCAAGATGGTAGGGTTTGTTTCCGTATGGCTTACATGCATAAACCTGGACAGTTGGAATCACTCCATTGGACATACAGTTCACCCAGGCATTGATRACCAGCAGGAATATGAATACTTTACTACACAATGTTATGTTAATATTACTGCTTGTTATTTGTRYATCATCATTATCATTCAGTAACACAGACRTCTCATCAGCAATGGCTCGCTTAATACTGACTGTTTTCACATGTTGTTTCTTGGCCACTGGGAGGTAATTTAGAGCTAAAAAGGCAGTCCCAGAGGTGATCATCATAGCAAACAGAAAGAGGAAAAATACACTTGGACTAAAATTGACATCTTTGTGCGAGTGTGTATGACTGTTTGTTGTATTAGAGCTTATGTTTCTGCCTGGAATATCATCCCCAATGCCTTGTGCAAGGGCAACAAAACCTGGCAACAYTGAACTCATTGTTTCACCTAACATTAATGCACTAAGGTAAAATGGAGGAAAAATTGCCATGAACGATAAAAATACCACAGTTGAAGTGCAATCCACTAGTGCTAGAAAAAATGACAATACCATAAATGCGACGCTGTGCTTTGAATTCGATACTAGAGTTACTTTATTCCAAAACAAAGCCATCAAAAGACACGATATCGAGCCAATTGTAACGATTACGAGAATTGCTGTCTTTTCTGTAAAGACACGAGGTGCTAGTCGCCTYCCAGTAGCATACGTTACCACTCCAATGTTGGCCAACTGAGTAGTAATGATTAAGTAAGAAGGAAGATTCCATTTCTCTGGGAGATGATCAACAAGTAAGGGTATTTCAACCCAAATACCATTGATTGCAATCCAAGAACCAATACCAAACAAACACACTAACAAATATGTCAGCCAAGATCCTAAACGTTTACAGCTTGTCTCTTGCGCTAACATTATAGATTCTACTGGTACGATAACGTTATTAGGATGTGCTGCGGCATAAAGAAAGGTTATGTCATCCAAGTTTTATATCATGTCAGAGGAGACCCTGTTGTTTTGGGCTTTGCGACCAGGCGTYYSTGGTTGGAACGCCTGGCAGTTTACTTGTKAAWGAGATATWTTTTGACTGGGAAACAGAGACTGKGAAAAAA